AAGAATTGTACCCATCACAACGTTCGGGTCCTCACGTGCTTCTTCAGTAGTAATCAGGAATGCACGACTTTTAGCTTTAGGCAACTCCTCCTTTTGAGTTGGAGTCTTCTTTGGTTGCTGAACAGAATCTTGACTCCCTGCCATTTGACTATTAAGAGTAGGGAAAAAACGTTTTTTGTGGCCAATAACACCACAAGCATAGCACGTAGTACTCTTCATCGGGCAAACAGGTTTTACGTGACCCATTTCTCCACACCCATAACATATCGTTGATCATTTATCTATTCCGCATTGCCCTTGGTGATTCTTTCCGCATCTTCTACATAATGGTGGCTGAAGAGAAAAAGATTGTAACCTACCACGACCACAAGATGCATTCTGAGATTGCATCCTTAAATTTGAATCGACTCGAACAGGTCGAGGTGGTGGCATAGAGGAAACATGAGCAGTTCGTTCAATACATGGCAACTTTGAAATAGAAAGAGAGGCACCACATATCTCTAAGTCATGCTCACGCTTTTCGAGCATACTCTACAGCTTTATCAAACGATAGAACATCCTGATTTATCACAAAATCACAGATTTCCTATCGTAACCCTTCCAAGAACAACTGAATTTTATCGCCTTCAGTTGGTATGTACTTTGCAGCGAACCGTGCTCGCTGATTTAACTGAGTCTCCATACTCATTCACTGTCTTCTCTTCTTGTTTGAGTTCTAGGAATTCTTTCTCTAACCTTCTCTTCATGTCTAGAGGACAATACTTCCCTAGCAGACGAGTCTTGAACATCTCCCAGGACAAGTTCTCCTGGTCATAACCATTGAGAGCTTCATACGTTGCTTCCCACCAGACCAAGACTTCATCAACTAACATTGCAGATGCATAATTAGCCTTATCTTCATTATCCACATGGGAAATACAGAATACTTTCTCTGTTTCTGAATCCAAGTAAGAACAATTATAGGATTAAGGACACCAACAAACTTTGTAGCTCCACTGCTCTTAAAAGTTTTGAAAGAGGGATGTTTCGCCTTCTCTCCTGAAGATTCTCCAACAACTTTCTCTTTTACTTTATTATTATCCTTCTTGTGCTCCTTGAGAGTTTGTCGGATAACACCAGTCAGTTTATCCATAAGTCGCACCTCACGAGGGGATACTGGAGTTTCTGCTTCATCAAGATGACGATCCCCACCCCCCCTTCTGGTGTATGACTACTTACTGCTTCAGCCATTACTCTGAAAATTTGGAGTAATATAGTAATTTAGAATATTAGGATTTATTATAACCTAATACTTCATTTAAGTCTTTCATATAGTTTGTATCCGTATACTAACAATGAATTAGTTCATATATTGAACTTCCAATAGTTTAAGTCTAAATACTAATCCTTAGAATTTAGTTCACTTAAACTACCGCTCTGATACCATGATTGAAAGACCTTCCTCGATACTTTCATGAATTCTATACCTCATTACTCCAAAACATACGACGTGCATATTCATAAAATAATATTTTATTATACAAGATGGTCTTGTTACAAAACATTGGATACAAACCAACCAAGTTTAAGTTTATTACAAAACTACCCAGGATATTGTAATTTTATACATACTAAAACTTAAATACAAAATTAATAATATAAACTATTCTAATTCTTCCGACAGTATACGACTATACTTGATGCTTATTGTCTGTAATTTATTAAAATATTGAGAGGGTAAGCAGTGATGCTTAGTGAGTTCAATAATAGATACATATAACGTTATGTCATATATATACATCAATATGGTAGAAGCAAAGAGGAACAACAAAGACATATGTGAAATCATGTGACAGACGTTCATATCAATCAAAGACTTTATTCAAAGATATATTTTTCAATGTTTGATATATATCAATAAAGTTCAGCCCAAATGGCATAGAAGACATATAATTTTTATTATTATCATTTTGCTAGCATATACAGGCTTTTAGCCCTACCTAGCCCATTACCAATATCAAAAGTTATACGAGTCATGCTTTACGTGGTCAAAGGCACAAAGTCAATACCAAAAATATTACAAGACATGCTCTACATGATCAAATGTATATTACCAATACGAGACTTGCTCTACATGGCTAAAGACTCAAAATCAATATTAGAATATCACGGGAAAATAACCCGGAATAATAACACTGAAAAACACATAGTACATATAACACATAACATACAATTGTTCCTATATATTGAAACTCACTGTGAATTAACCGTGGTCAAAATAGTAATTTGAGCAGGACTTCGTTACTATAAATAACTTTCTTCTATAAAAACTGGAAGCTTTCTTGAAAATCGGGCTCTGCGAAGGTCAGGCTTCAAACCGAAAAGATAAATTTATCGGGCTTCTCGGGCACTTCGGGGCGTGTTTCGGGTATTAAAAATAATATCGGGGCTTCGGGGGATGTCAAAATAATGAAAATATAAGAAAAAGGGTGAAATGGCAAAATTCCAAAAGTAGTCGGAAGATCTCGCAGGCCTCCCTTTTATAGGGTGCGAGCTTCGGATCCGAGGGCTGAGAAGAGACACGCGACAATAGATGCGAGAGTCAGGTGGCAGCAGCGAGACTCGGACACGCGAAAGGAAGGGTGAGGCTCAGACGCGACATGAAGCGAGGCGCGTCGGATGGGGATAGGCTTCGGCTTCGGTCTAATCAAACAGCGACACGTGTCGGTTCCGGGCGAGGGTGAGTCACGGCATCGGACACGGGGCGAGCTCGCACGAAGGGTGACGTGGCCGAACCTTATGCATGCGAAATTTCTCGGATTTCGCATTATTCTCGATTTTTGTGACCTAAACTTCTCAAATCCATAACTTTCGCATACGAGCTCCGTTTTCGACGCTCTTTATATGCACGCATAGATAAAAATTCAGAAACTTCTTCATCCGAGACAGGAAAATCCGTTAAAAATTCAGAAACTTCTTCATCCGACATCCGTTTTTGTCAGACTTTTTACCGTTGTACTACTATTGACGAGACCTTCAATTCTCGTTTAGGTTGTGTTGGCTAAATATCACTCGACCTTTATTTCGAGTTTTTTAACTGTCTATTGTTATTCTGAAACTTAGAAAAATCATAACGTCCTCATACGAAGTCAGATTTAAAAGTTTTTTATATGAAAGTTTATTATTTTAACGAGTTCTACAACTTTCCTTTACATCACTAAGACTAAAAAGTAGTTTATCGGAAACTCACTTTTTACGCGACATAGTGTTTGTCGGTTTTATCTCGGATCTTCGAATGGTCATAACTTCTTCGTTATAACTCGGATTTCGACGAGGTTTTCGCCTAAAATTTTCTAACGATATTCTTTACAACTTTAAATAATAAAATTTTATTTATTTCAAATTTTATATTTTCGCTAAATTTCACTATATGATATTTAATTGGAATCTTATAAGAATTCAAATACTTTCTGAATGATTCTAAGCATAGTTTTACTTTATTTATGGTAAAAATCATCTGTTAGAACTCAACATTCAAATTTACATAATATTTCGTAATATTATTCACTTTTATAATTTACAATACACGATAGTTGAACGTGTATGTTACTATATATATATATATATATATATATATATATATATATATAATTAATCCATATTTTATATTTTTTCTATAAAATTGGTCCTTTTTTTTTTTTTACATTTTTTGGCTTTACCTTATCTCTAAATTTTAAATTTTGGAGTTTTAATCCTTATTTAACTTTTTGTTATAATTTTGACCACTCTAATTTTTTTTTTTTATGAATTTTTTAAACATTATTTACATATTTTCCCAGTATTTTTTAGAATTAGTTAACTTTTTTTTAATTTGATAACTTCTTTTACATATTTTAAATATTTTTTATGATGTTTTTAGAAATTTAGTACTTTGGTTATTTGGTTATTTTAATAGTTTTTTGTTTTTATAAACTTTGTTTATAAACTGCACTTTACTTCTAACCGAAAATTTTAAATGAGAAAAATTTTCACAACAATACACGGAGGGTATCAATTATTCCAAAGAAAAAGAAAGAATATTAAAGGGTGAATTATAGAAAGAAATAAGCTATAAATGGAGAAGAATGAGATTCGTCCAAAGAAAAAAAAAAGTCCGTAACGTTTTGGGTTCACATATGACAAATGTATATGTATTCACTTACGACCCGCGTCTTCCTTCTTTCTTAAATTCGGACACAGCGCCTTGCCCATTTAAGGTCATGTTACGTTAAATTTAGTCAATTAGATCGTCTTTAGCTATAGCCAAGAGCACTCTGAAGTTTGATCCAAATCTTACTTAGATAACATTTTCCGTTATTACAAATCATTATTTTAAGAGTAAATTATTAAAATCGTCCCTATAGTTTGATTAAAATTACAGGTTTGGTCCCTAACTTTTATTTTGCAATCGTCTTTTGATTTTGTTGATTTTGTTATGTCTTTCGTTCCTATGGTTTGGTCAAAATTACACATTTAATCCCTAACTTTATGTATGCAATGGACGAAAAACACAACAAAATCAAACCATAAGAACGATCTGGGTGCAAAAGAAAAGTTAGGGACCAAACTTGCAATTTTCACCAAATCATAGGGAATTTTAGTAATTTACTCTTATTTTTATAACAGTTTATGGCTTTCTTCATCGATTGTTATAGTTTTAATGATTTTTTTTTCTAATTATTGAAATTACTTTGATGACCATTAACTTTTATGGATCTAATCCTCAATCTTTTAATAATGATAAAGATATTAATCAAATAGCAAGACGATAGTAAGAAAACAAATTACAATGAAATAATTGCTAAGGACGGGTTATGTATCCAACAAATCAAGTTCATCTTATATTCTTGTGCCTGTTACGAATCCAAAAAAAAAAGTATGAATATATATCGTCAAAAATAGTTGAGTTGCTGGGTCTAACCGTTCCAAAATGCATGGAGTTGCATAACTTCCACAAAAT